ATCCACATCCTTCCGGCCGTACAGCTGTTGGGCATAGGTTAGCAGGTTGATATATGCGTGCAATTGTGTCTCATTGTAGTTGACCCCGCCACGCGTGACTACAGCATTAGCTCTAACTTTGCCCAAATTGCAGCGTTTTAATCTTGCAGCTCGGCGCGTGTGCCGTCCGTGCAAACAGTTCAAAATCATCGTTTAAAGCATTCCGTGCCCACCACTCCTTGCGTTTGCCACCCGTGCTCTCCATTACAGTGGTGTGCTTCATAAAAGCCACATGGCCACCGCCCTCAACAAGGCAGCGGAACGCACCCGTATGACCATAGTAGTCCTCCGAAGCATCGCGGCGGCAGTATCTGTAGCTGGTTCCATGGCAAAGGTCACACATGCTGTCGTACGGTACGCCAGTATTATATTCGCTACTGATTGCGCCGGGGACGCATGATTTGGTAAAGTTCTGCTGCGGCACGTATCGAGTCACATCCATAAGGTCGTATCCAACCATTCGATATTAGGAATGCCATTGGATATGTCCAGCCTGCGGCCATATTAATGCCAGTATGACATGTGTTCTTCCCCTTCAGATACGTTAGCTCGGTGTCGGGATCTTCTTCTTTGGCTACAGCTACAACATAGTATTCCGGCTCACCCAAATTGTAGACCTCAGACATGAATGGAATCAAATCATAATTCAATCCACCCGTATATACATCGCCGGCATCAAAGACAGACACATCAGCTTTGCCTGACTGTATAAGTTGCATACAGTTTATATGCGAGTGCATTTTTTTGCAAATAAGTTCTGGTTTTAAAATTTGTGCTTTGAGCGCCGTCTGCAAAAGGAATATAAGTGAAATTACTGAGGAAATTAAAGAAAGGAAAAAGAACTAACTCTCATTTTGATGCATTTTTCCAGCTCCGGCTCAGAGGTCACACACATCGTCATTGCTGGAACGGGACATTCCCGGATGCCGTATATATATATTCAATAGATTTCTGCAAATATTTAGTAAAGGACTGATCGTCTTCCGATATGGAAATGAGATCTCTGGCTGCATCCTGGAAAAGCAGATTAGATTTTCCATATCTGCTCGATTCAAAAATACGGAATTTTTCATAAGGTACAGATGTGTTGCCATCAAATGAATTGCGTTCAGTGGTAAAACTGCTGTCCAGTCGGTCATTGCGATAATTTGTGCCATCAAATCGGTCAAAGGGATTTTGATTTTGGTTCTGATTTCTATTGTAGGTGTTGATATTGTCGTATTGACTGTTGAAATTGTCGTATGGGTTGCTACGACCTTGGTCATTGAAGTTGTTGCGATCGTATGTGTTAAAGCCAACGCCAGTCTGTGGCTGATTGCCTTTTGATTCCTCACGGAGTGCGTCTGAATACAACTCAGCAATGCGTTTCAAAAACTGTTGGTATCGGAAACGATCCCGAAAACTACGAGCTGAGGAAGTAACAATTGCATCCGAAGGAACTTGTCCCCAGCTACATTGGCGATAGTCAGAGATGGGCACACGGCTACCATCCCGGCAAAGCAATTCAAAGGTATCCGGCGACAATTTTTCTAGAGTACAAACATAATTTAAGTTTCGAAACTATTTTCTAAAACAACAAAGCTACTCACTAAACTCTATAGTTTGCAGCATTTCTGAAACAGTCGAGTGCCGCAAGAAAGCAACATCTCCCGCCTCGAGGAGGCACCTAAATGCACCATCGTATCCAAAATATGGATCAGACGCCGAGCAGCGTCCAGGTATTTTGCCCGTACATAATGCACAAAGTCTAAAAAAGATATGCGTAAGTGCTATAAGATGAACTGTTTTTAAATATTTAAATAGACCAACTTGTCAGAATTGTCTCCGATGGGATTGTACTTGTCAATCAGCGAGTGCACAGCGCAGGAGCTGTTAAAATAGTTGGCAGCCGTTTTCACCTGGTTATTGCAATCCACAACCTCCATATCGCCAAAGTGTTGCAGCTAAAAAGCAAAACGAATTCAAGCATATTAATATGTTTGTTTCCGAACAGATAATATGCTTCATTACCGTGTATATGGGTACAATCCAACCTGCCAGACTTCCCACCCAGGGAAAGCAAACTCTCTTTTGACGCAGGTGTCGCAACTCGGTAACATCGGGGAGTGTATTCTTCTTGATAACAGCCACTGAATGATAGTTCAAGAATCCGCCCTCCAATTTCTCCTGCATTATTGGGATCAGGGAGTTGTAACGACCAGCGGTAAAAACATCTCCGGCGTCCAGCGTTGTGATATGCGCCTTCTCGCGGTCCAGATGATGGATGCATTCATCTGCGCTGTATGCCATAAAGCAGGTGAGATTCATGAAGGCATCGTCAAAGAGCGCTCGGTCCCGTTCGATGGCCGCAGTCAAGTTTAGACATTTGTACTGCTCCTCCTCACTTTTTGTGCACCAAATCATGTTGCTGGTTTTATGTTCATCGTAGTGATGTTGTGCTAAAATTAAAAGTTATTAACAAAAGTAGAGCAAGCAATGGACTTCTAATAAGCATATCTCCAAATTAATTAAAGTAGTCAAATACATATACATACACAAATGTATGGGACACTTTTGAATTGCTTATAGCACTTGATTAATATATTAAGATAAACGGCCACATATATTTTGCAGCTATATTTCTAGGCTTTGTCGTGTATAACATTTAATGTTGAAATTTAAATGAAATAATAGCCAATTCCTTTGCTTTTACATGCATACACACACACATACACAACTATGCATTACATGGCTAGCAGCAACGCCCTATGTTTAGTCAGCGAGATGAGCAGGTGTATTGCACTTACCATGAATTACAATTAAACACAATGCGCTTATTAAACATAAAAACAAATAAATTCTATTCATTTTTACACATAAATAGCAGTCCACATTCAGTTTAAAATATATATTAAAAATAAACACAAGCGAAATGAACCTAACTACGACACGCCCGCAATGCACTGTAATCGATAGTGTTCGTGCTGTGTTATCGAAAGTGTGCCCGATATTTTGTTGGCTGGCTACGATATTTTTGGCGGCGTTTGGTATTTTTTAGGCAATTTATATTAAGAGCAGGTGTTTTTGTTTTATAATCAGAAATTGTAAAAACATTTAAGAATTAAACAAATTCTGTCTTGCAGTAATGGCAGTCTTACGCGGGTGGAGATTTGTTGGCTTTGTATCATGCATAGTTGGCGCAATTGGAATAACTTTATATCCGGTTATCGTGGACCCCATGATAAATACTCAAAAATATAAATCGTTGCAAGAAAGAGCCAAACGTTCAACATAACTTAATATTGTTAAAACCGACTTGTATTAAATTACTCACACCGTCATGCATATGTTAATTAATCCATACATGCTGTGCATGCAATAAACACGAACAGCTGTTACTCAACACGTAGCAAATTTACACACTTATTTGTTATTTGGCCACAATGAAAGGTGCGTCCCTTGATTTTTGTAATTTAATATAAAATATTGTTTGAAATTAGTATTTATAAATTGTAGTTTTGATTGCGCTCAAATAGGGAACACAAGAAGCGTTGACTTTACCGCCGGCTATCAATTGTTATCAGTTCCAGCAAACAGCTGATTCCAGCGAACTTTTGCACGCACATACGTGGACAATTTTGTGCGACACAAGTGACTTTTCTGCTGTGTTTGATAACAGTCACAGGTTTTTAGAATGTCAACAGCCACTAAAAAACGCGAGGATATATTGCTTCTCTTCGATGTGGATGGAACTTTGACCATGCCCCGTTCGGTGGTGCAGCCGGAGTTCGAGGAGTTCTTTTACACAAAGGTGAAACCACGGGCAACGATTGGAATCGTCGGTGGATCTGATCTGGAGAAAATGTTCGAGCAGCTAAATGGCAAGAAGATACTCAATGAATTCGACTTTATATTCCCTGAAAATGGCCTAGTGCAAATAGAGCGTGGCAAGGAAGTGGGCAAACAAAATATTATACAGCATTTGGGAGAGTCAACTTTACAGAGATTTATCAACTATGTGCTTCGTTATTTATCTGAACTGGAATTACCCATCAAGCGAGGAACGTTTATTGAGTTCCGCAATGGAATGATGAACGTCTGCCCGATCGGTCGTCAATGCACCCGGGGAGGAGCGCAACATGTTTGCGGCCTACGATGACGAACACCAGATTAGAAAGAAAATGATTGCAAAGCTTAAAGAGGAGTTCGCAGACATCGATCTTACCTATAGTATTGGTGGTCAGATAAGCTTCGATGTGTTCCCGCACGGCTGGGACAAAACCTTCTGTCTGCGTCATATCGAAGCCCACCATAAATTCAAAGAGATCCATTTCTTTGGCGACAAAACAGAACCAGGTGGCAATGATTACGAGATCTATACCGATCCTCGCCTTCAAGGACATAAGGTCAATACACCCACACGATACTATGCGAATACTAAGCGAGCTGCTCAACATTTGATGGCTTTTGCATTTACAAAATTCCAATTTAAAACATTTTTATTTATGATGTATATTCTGTAAAAAATTAATCAATATATTTGTTTCAATATGCAATGGCCATATGAATATTTATATTTTTTTAAGGCCTCTCGATAAGAATGGGTTTTATTTCGCATATGTGCCAACTGAATTTCTGTTTATATAGTCTCCGCAAAAACAAATCAATTTAAATCTGAGTCTCGCTTGGAATACAAATGTTTATATCTAATAGTGCCTCACAAAGAATAATTGGTATACTTTATAAAAGAATATGCAATGATTAGGATCTTAACACATTATTGTTGATCGAATTTCCGTCATTGACAGACCAGTTTGAGTCGAAGCCACACGCGGAATCGGAGTCCGAATCAACGTTGAGTGTTGAACCAATACTCTTTGGAGCACGTATTTGATTTGGGGTTGTGGGCATGCTGCTGTAGCCGGTGTTTAGATTTGAGCTGGAATTGGATGAGCAGATGGAATCCCGCGGTGAGTCTGTGGCATTGGAGGCATAAGAGGATCGTTTCGAAGTTCTGTAGCGCTTTGAGACGTAATCAACCGATTTTGGTGGTGGCATCAAATTCTCTGAACGTTGTGTTATATTGTCCGCTGAGCCCCAAGACTTGTGAACAGCGTCATATATATTCCTATTGGTTGGAACACTTGATCTGGAGCCCACTATATTACTCGAGCCGTATGGTATTGTCACCGATGCTCTCTGATTCGGAGGCCGATCCCGTGTCATACCATTGGCATGATGATGATGACGCTGATGAGGGTGACGGTGAGTTCGCTGGTGATGGCGACCTACTTCGATGGCCCCGCCAGTTCCATACGGCATCGGGACACTGCCATTGCCCACTCCCAAGAAATTGCTGAACGCTTCGGTTGTTTTCTTTACTCGGACATTCAGTGAACCAATCCGTAGGAATCCCAAATCTTTTTCGACTGCAACAAAATAACAAATATCAAATTTAAATGAATTTACTTAAGTAAATAAAAAGAGCACTTACTTGTATGCTTTTTTCGCGCTTTGATTTCTGCAAAGATTGAATAAAAAAAATAAGAGATATAATTATTTGCGTTAAATAAAGACTTCACATGCACATGCTGTTAAAATTAAAATGAAAATATGTAAACTAAATATTAGTTAGTAGCTCTTTTCAGAAGGACAAATGATTGTGCGATTAAGGAATTCGTTAAAAAAAAACTTACCAAATAAATAAATAAGAATAACAGGCATCAAAATCAAATGCTTTCAAATAAAAAATTCAAGAATACTACAAAAAGCGTTAGCGTTTTTTTCTTTTGTTTGTTTTTTTTTTTTTTTTTATGCTTTGAAAAACTTATAAAGTATATACATAATAACAAGCGGAAACATTTTATTGAACATTAATTGATTGCAAACATTCAAATTCTTTAGTTAAGTCAACCTGCCTCCAGGTTCCGTTGTGTCCGCCGCTGTGCCGCATCGCTTGAATTTCTACACGTAGCATTGATGAAAATAAATAGAGGAGTTCCCCAGTTAAGATAGTTGAGAACTTAAATACGAAATACTTAATGCAGCGGCAGTCTTGCCATTAATTCAACTGATATGGACGTGATTCAGTTAAGAAATATCAGATAAACATGCAATTAAAAGGAATGTCTTGCGGAATTTAATGTCAATTAAATCAATTGCTGCAGATGTTCTATTCTTTTTTATGTTTGTTTTGTAAACTTGCTGACATGCAGTTGTTAATACCGTTTAAGTACAAACTTAATTGATGTATTATTAAATATTAAATACTGGATATGTATGTTGCAAACATCGATTACTTTGTTTATTGCTAGAACTAGCAAAAGTGTTAATCAATTAACAAGCTCCGGCGAAGCGTATTCAAATTTGTTAAGACTTGTGTAACTTAGTAGAAATATCTAAGCAGTTACGCTATAGTTTATCTAGTTGTGCGGCATAACGAAATCACTTTTATATACACACATATTTATATCGGCAGCTAACTTCTAGTTTGAATTGTGTACGATGGGTTAAAAACCCTCAATAAATTTTTTGTATGCTTGTTTAAATAGCTACAACAAATTTGATTACTATATGTTTAACTATTTGACAGTTTTTGCTTAAGATCAGACTAATATAACATTTACTAAAAGCATTTGCTAAGTGTTTTAATGTTTCTATATATATTTCTTTTTGTTATTTTAATAAAAGTTTCATTGATGCTAATAACAGTGTGTAATGTTTAAGCTTTCATATATATATAGCTATATAATATCTCAGATATCCAATAAACATATTTTATGTGAGCTTAAAAGTATAATTTTTAAAAAAGTTTTCAGGTGCAATTCGGTTAATAGTTTGAAGGGGTTATGATACATTTTTTTCTTTTAAAAAGGGTGTACAAAAAATAACTGGGCAAGTGAATAGCATTAATTTGTTAATATTATGTGCTTAACAAGTTGTGTAATAAAGTATGTATTTTTTCTTGATTTGTTGTTAATAGTTCAAAGATTTCAAGAATTCCATTAAGAAAATTCGTATTCGTATACAGTTGTTTTTCGCTACCCTTTGTTTAGTTAGATAGTAAATACATAAGCTGGTTAATTGGCACATGCTTGGATTGTTTAGGTAGTTTGGTTAGTAACAACATCTTTTGGGGGTCGGCTCGCACCGGCAGCGGACCGAAATGTTTTACGCAAAAAGCTCTCCTTGCGTCGAGTGGGGGCATTGCGTAACTTGGGCTCGTGCGATTCGCCCTCTAGCTTTTCCAATTTGTCCTCATCGGGCTGATCAGTGGCCACGTTTGTGTCCCGTTTGCTTCTCGGCGTTGGCTCCGAGTCGCTGTCCTCATTCGACTCTTTGAACAACAGAGACTGGACAGATGGCTTTTTGTAGCGCCGATATGAACCCGATGTCATCAGGGATTGAGTGCGAGTCACAGTGCCCCCACCTGAGCCACTGCTAACGGTGGCATAACGCATTTGAGAGCGCTTTTTGCCGCGTGTCAGTGCGCTGCCGAGTGTGCCGCCCATGATCCCATTGCCAGCGCTCGAGAGCGGGCTCTCAATGTGCTGGTATCCCAGATGGTAGTTGTTGTTTAGCTCCGTGCCCGAGGAAATACTTTTGATACTCACTACTGCACGTTGAGGCCGAAACACTGGGCCGCTGGCGACTGTAGTCCAATGGCTTATTTCCACTCCAATCCATAATGTCCCGATTGGCCTCTAAAGGAGTTTGCAAGAGATTCGTTAATTTAATCAATTTACACATGAAGCATAAGACTGATATGTATTCTCATATGTATCTTGACCATTTCGATGAAATATCCAATACATTCGTTCATGAATCAATATTGGAATACGTACTGTAAACATTCCATAGTAGTTCGTATATATTTTGCCTTCCGAATTGGGTAGCCA